CGATGTTGTTCTAATTAGGTTGTTCAAAATAAGGAAATAAGTACTAGGAAATAATAATAATTCAACATCCAGGGATGATTACAATAATCGTCGATTACCACACTCGCGCTTGCCGTGCTCGTAGATTTCTGTTGCGTACACCTGACGGTAGGTGGCCATATCTGCTTCTTGAATATTCACCAAGTCTGACATTGGGTTACCAAACGCCAGCAACTCCAAGAACTTCATTGCGTAAGGCCCGCAATCTCCTGTACTTGGGTTTTGAGCGACCATAACATTTCTCTCATAGGCAAAAGGTTCAACTGAGTACTTCTCAGGCAATACATCCGCGCACATCGCTCTCACTAGGTACGGCATCATCTCGCAGACAGGCTGCATCTTTGACCATGCAACAGACTCCCGCGTATGTTCTATGAGAGCGTCATAGACAACTATATTCCGGGCTCTGAGGTGGATTGCCAACCCAACCCAATGATCACCTTTCCAGTTCATCGGAGCATATACCACGTCGACATCCTTGAACCACCTAAGACTAGGTTCACGGTGTATGTGTATTCCTTTGGCCATGTCGTATAGCCGGTCGCCCCATTTGAACCCAAGCTTATTTATACAATTCCTGAAGCTGACAGCACGCTTAGTAAGCTCATAAAGCAGGAAGGAGTCCAAAACAACGCATCGGTTTGCTATCATTTGTTGACCGTTCTTGTGCCACATCAAGATTGCGAGCATTTCCAAGACCTGAAATGATAATAGCATAGACAGTCAGTGTACGTACAATTCAGGCATATTTAAAAAATGTACACAAATGTACTATTTCAACTTACCATATTATCCACCCACTGTCCTTGTGCTATAAGCATGGAGAAAAACTCGTTTTCCACTTTGCGATACCCAAAAAGAGTGTGCTTCCTGTATATCCAATATTATAGTATGACTGGTTGTTATAGAAAACCAATGTATCAATTAAGGGATAATTTTGATAATGCATGATACTTACACATTCGGACCGCGGAGGACATTGGTTAAGAGCTCTAATTTGGAAGCGTCAACCTTCTCCAAGGGGTTGTAAGGGACATTTCCAGCCGCTATAACCACCTCTGAATCTTCAGCTCGTCCAGGAACATCCTCCACGAGGACTGTTGTTTCCTTAAAACCTTCCGGAAGGGCTTCATCCATCTCAACAATTATTTGCTTCTTCACTTTTTTGGGTACAACCGGCGTAGGAATTTTAACTGCTATTGCTTCGACTGCAGCATCGTTGTTTGGTTCATCCTGTAAAGAAGTATTATTGTAAACACCATAATTAAACAATTTCAAAATGTAATGATAATATTTACTGGGAAGATACTCACAATATTTTCCAGTGTACCAACTGTCGTGTCTGCTTCATCTAACCCTGGGTTTGAATCCTCTTATTCTTCCACCCCATCGACAATCCCCTGCTGCTCCAATACTCCCTTTTCAAATTAACGTGCAGAATTATTTAAATATACGCATACAATCCTATGTACGTATGTTAATAACTGTGTATAATTTTAAACCAAACACGAGATTTTTACCTCCTTTACATTAGCTGCATCCACATCCATGGAGGCTTTCGTTGCCAACTCCTGTAACACCTGCATAATAGAAGATTATAAATTTAAACAAGCCTACACTATTTTATTTAAATATATAGTTAGCTTACATTCTTAACTACTGCAAATGGTGAAGGGGGATCCCCTAGGGTGCCCTCAAGTACTGAGTCATCCACTTTACTCTCTGCAACTACATTGGGTACATCTCCCGCATCAACCTGTGGCAGTAGTTATCAACTTCATCGGCTATATCCTCTATTTTGTGATGTCTGAAACAATCATTACTTATACGTACACGAGAAATAAGAAAGACAAATGTACGTACACTTACACCGGGTTCCTCGGTGTGTTCAGCCTGAGAAGATGTATCTCTATCATTATCCTCAGAAATTTCTGGTTGCTCCCCAACATTTGCTTCACTCTCAAGACCGGCACCATGTTCTTCTCCCTGAAACAAATATACCATACACGTCTTAAGCTTTATGTGAGTACACATATGGAAAACTACATTTGACTATTAGCAGACCATATACCTGTCCAGATGTTGCAGGTAAACCTGATGGATTTTCTACCATCTCTGTGTCAGCAGTTGGTTTTTCATCTATCCCTCGCTGTGTACCAACTACGACAGGCTCACCACCATCATTTGGTCCTTTATCCTAAAACATAGTATACCATACACTTCTTAAGCTATATGTACGTGGAGAACTGAAAATAATTGATACGCGTACACTTATGGAAAACAGTATGTGACTATTAGCACAAGACATACCTGTACAGAGGTTGAAGGTACAGGAGATGGAATTTCTTCCATCTCTGTGTCAGCACTAGCTTTTTCCTCGGTCCCTGACTGTGTACCAACAAGGACATACTCACCACCATCACGTGCTCCTTCATCCTGAAACATAGTATACAATACACTTCTGAAGCCTATGTGTACGTACACAACTGGAAATAATTGATAAAAATATTTGTACATGACATACCTGATGGGAAGGTGTAGGTCCACCAACTGAAATGTTAGCTACTCCAGTGTCAACCATATCTTCATCTCTGTTCGAAAAATCTCCTCCATTATTTGCAGTAAAACCACCTTCATTGTTGGCTTCATCCTGTACCATAGCAGACAAGTTACAGTTATTAATCTTAATGTACGTACATTTAAAATACTATATATAAATGTACGTACATGCCATACCTGGTCATCTTCCTCAGAGGAAGAGTTACCATCAGAAAGCTGAGTAATCTCCGCAACTGACGTCATTATATTCTTCAGCCTTGAAGACTTTCTTGTTCCAGACTCGAAGACTTTCTTTGTAGACATCCTTTTAGATGCCTTCTTCACACTCATCGGTACCTTAACCACCGATTTATTTGGGCCCTGTGAAGCATGGGAAGTTTTGGTTGGTTCTGTCTTTTTGCCCTTTGGATCTAAGGCAGCACGTATCTCCTTACGGACAAATTTCTTCAAGTCTTCTTGCATTTGTTTATTTTGTGCTTCCTGCCTCTTGAAACACCTCCTAAGTTCAACTACAAACTTCTCAAATTGGGGATCTTCAGAACAATCCTCAGCAGTGTCCTCATTTTCTTCTTCCTCAACAGATTTCTGTTTTTTCAAAGCAGGTGCATTCGGGGCTGGTACATTTCTTTTCCTCTTCTTCACACCTACGATAGACCAGTTTAATCATTGATTGGTCTTCAAGGGACAATAATCAGAAAGTATAAAAACAACATTTACACTCACGTATCTCTCCAAGTTGTGGTGGGCGCTCATGCTTTGGAAATGCAGCATAACCTCTAACCCATTCTTCCTCCTTCCACTCATGACCAGCTAACAACAGTAGCTCAATGTAAGCAACTCTTGGATCCTCAACTTCATCATCCCATGACAGGGATGGAGGACAAATATTGTCCTCTGGTTTCACAAGATAGGTTACCTCAACCTACACCAATAAGTTTGTTAACCACTTAGAGAATGTACACTTACTTTTTAAATAATGTACGTACATAAACAATTGTACATACCTCTTCAGCATCCTCACACTCCAAGATGCTGGATGTCCTGATTGCCCGCAGTGAGGCAAGATGATGGATAGACCTCTGAGTAAATGTCCTGTTAGCTTCATCATCAGGTACTAGCTTAGCAAGGGATGGGATTGTTTCGAACGCAAACAGCTGGAGTGCTAATGGGAATCCATGTAGTGCATAAGACCCATCCTTTACACACCTTATCAGTTTTTGAGCATCTGAAGGGGTTTGGAATTTTGATATCCTCTCCAAAGTACGGGTAAAAGACACCCTTCCCCAAGGGTATTTGCAGAAGAATTGCACGTTCTTCGTCATCTCAACAGTGAACTCAGAAGGCCTTATGGGGTTATTATGGCACCCTATCACACCATCTACCAAGATTATAAGAGATAAGGCCAGCTGCTTCCACCCATCCTGGTTTCCTCCTCCTTCAGCCAAACCACCAAATCATGCACTGTTGGATTCGGCTTCTCCCCAAACTTCTCCTCAAACAGAGTTTTCCAGACACTTTGACTCCCAGCTTTAACCTTTAGCACATCCGTCACGTCTTTCTTGTTGGGATATGTCCCACATTCTAGACCAGTTACCAGACTAAATTCTCTTAATCCGAATTTTATTGGATGACCGCCGAAGACCATCCACATCTCATTCACTTTACTCGTCACTAACTGACGACATATTAGTCCAAGAACAAGTTTACCTGAGAAGGAAGACTTGTTAGCAGGTATCCTAAAAAGGTCCCCAAATGGAGACTCGAGAAGAAACTTCATCTCCTCTTTTCCCTTAAGAACTTGTGCTATGTCAGAAAGGTACTCCGGTTTGGAGTACGCGTTCATCTTCGTCTTGACAGGGTACCGGTCTAGGGCAAAGAGTCTAGGTGGTAACTCTTCAACTATAAGATCTTCAGTCGGAGCCACGCTTGTACTGCCTGCAATTACAAGTGATATACAATTAAGTAAGGATGTATGAATTCGTGTACGTACACAGTAATTATCATCATTATATACTCAACATCTGAATTTTGGCGGAAACAGAGATTTCCAATTCAATTTCTCAAATTTTCAAACTACAGATATAGCAAAATCCGGCAACTTCTATCCCTTTAATCAAACAAGCTTTAAGATTCCGATACACCCAAAGAAACTACAAACGGAATAATATCGGAACTTACCCAATTCCTCCAGCGGATTTCTCGGAGGGAGTTTCCTCCTCGGGGATACTCTAAGTTCCACCTTGTCCTTCTCGGGGCCTTCCTGCGTATGCTTCTTCCTAGAGACTACGTCGTTTGGTTTATTCCCAGCCATCTCGAAGGTTGGTATCTCGCCGGATGTTTCTCAGGTCGCCTTCGCCGGAAAAACTGGAACTTTCTCTTCGCCGGTTTTTCGAGTTCAATGCAATACCTCAAATCAAGTAGCCGACAATTCGAACGGAGATGTCAAAAACGAAGATGGATGAATGAATTCCGAACTGATTTTTACTTCTCTCTCGAATCTCTCGGAGATGTCTCACGAAGATGATGAATGTTCTTCTTCGTTTTCTTGAATTTTTTTTTTTTTTTTAATTCAAAACAAAAAGTAACTAAACCGCGATATGAAACTAAACCGTAACGTAACTGTGCCGTTTGGTTTTTCGTCAGGGGCATTTTCGTCATAAAATGGAATAACTGTCAAAACATGAGAATTGAATCTCACTTTGCCAAAGGGTGAGATCAAATCTTTTTTTCATGTTAAACGTGAAAATTTCTTTTTTTTTAATATGTTGAAAAAAAGTGGTTAGAATGTCTTTGTCAAAAAAATATGGGTTAGTCTAGTTAGAGCTCCTAGAACTAAGTCACTCTAGTTATTTCACTACAAATATGGGTCATTCTAAGTAATTTTCACTAAATTTTATCTGATCAAAATACCAAAAATTATTATAAAATGTCAAAATCTTGGATGTCGACGAAACAACAATTGTCAATCTAGCTGAGCAAAAGTGGAATTGCTAAGAGTCAAAAATATAACTAGTTTGGTATTGAGTTTGCCTCTCGAATCTGTCTTTTTCTTCGAACATCAAAATCTATTTTTTCATATTCTCTGTGAGATTGATATACATGTGCTCTTTGAAATATCACAATATAGAAGTAGAACTAACAAGCAACAACACAGAACTCTTCTCAAAGGATATCAAAGAGTTGAGATCAAGTACTTCACTGATCAAATATCACAACAGTAACCACTTGATGAACATCTAATTGAAATTCTTATCGCACAAATTACTCATTAAAGTTGGATAAATTTATACATTGTCATTCTATTTCATATGGTGTATTAGTTCTGGACAAAAGGTACAAAAGATTGTGCAAGTTATAAATGTGTGGCAGTGACAAAGAGTTGGATATAACAAGATGTGTGCTAATGTATTTACTATATACCATGGGTGAAAAGAACGCAGAAGGAAGGGCATGCCGGTTAGTAAGATGGTCTGAACCCCTCTTCAAGAAATTGAAAGGCGTATCACATGCCGCCGCAGCCATGTGGGTCTCCATCTGTGAATTAATAGATCAAATGGAAGAGCAAGAAATTGATGAATCAATGAAAAACCATGAGGGCTCAATGTCACAACCCATTTTCTGAGAAAAGCGCGTGACAAGGAGCTAGCTAATGAGACAGTATATTTGAGTTCCAAATTGCCATGACAAATCGACAAAGAAACATTTGACTAACAGTTGCAGCAAAACGCATATGAAAGAAAAGTAAATCATATTTGGTGCACTAAAGAAAAATTGCACCTTAGTGTTCCTTCCACAAACGGTACTGTTAGAGACATGGAGAAGCCGGAGGGCCCTATCTTTTTGCTTTGGACCATCTTTCACTTCCCAAGTTGAGGTCGAGCTTAACAATAGCTAAATAATAAGATGAGAAAAAAACAAGTTAGTAGTAGCTTTTCACATATTGAGCAGAGATACCAATGATGGCAGCAAAAGTTAGCATTGACCAGTTTAAATTAAAAGCCAGGAACTGAGCATCAATTACATTACCTGCCTCGGGAATCATCCAGGATGCATGAGGCTCAATTGAAGAAGCAGCTTCCCTTCCATTCCATTGTATGGCTGCCTTGTCACAAGCCCTAATTCCATAAGAAACTGAGCAATTAGTCTTGAAATTTTCCTAATAGATCAATAATTCAGGATAAAAGACTTCATCTTAACCTAATTTACAATCCCAAAGAACATGCAGCTTATACCAGATGACAATCATATCAAGTTAGATATAAGTGTCCCATAGCCATCAGAATCTCTAGATATAACCCATAATCACAAACGGGTCTTCCTGCTAATGGTTCTAACAGAAACCTTGTTCACATTAACGAAAAATAACCAAATCCTTCATCTGAGGCACTTCACTCTTTTTAGCAATGACTGACAGCCACATTCAGACAAAAACACAAAGAAATTGCATGTTTAAAAGCCCATATTTAGATCCCAGGAAAAGTTAATTACATGTTTCCATGAAACTGCTCCATTTGAGCTCCCCACCCGCCAATCTTTTGCAAAGCGACTCCTTGATATCTTGAATTATTCCTTGAGAAACCAGAGCTCTGTCGCCGAAGTACTTGCACAACTT